ATTCATTTTTAGAACTTTTTTACATTAATTTGCATTTAATTTCAAGTACATTTTAAAATATGTGATCGCACAATATCGGCGAAGTCGCAATATCAATACTTATTGACTAAGATTTTTTATCAAATAACAATTATATGGAATGAAATCACTTTTCAAAATTGCAGTCATAATTGTTTTTAGACTGATGAGAATTTTAATTTCAATATTTCTTCTTATAATCTAATACATAATGTACATATATGCATAATATTCACTGTAGTTGTTGTAGAAGTTTATGTAGGAACTAAAACTAATTTTGATGTTCATGGACATTGGGTTAATATGAAAAGAAAATGTAAATCACAAAATAATATTTTATTAATATTGTGTTTTTTTATCAGTAGAAGCATCCAGATTTTTATATAAAATTATTAAAACATAAACATAAAATCATTAAGCATGATGTATTGATATTTTAGTAAATAATTGATAATACTGAATAATGTTACAAAAATAATACAATAATTTTTAATGAATTCGTTTATTAAAGTTTTTGTGATATCATTGTAGTTTTAAAAAAATAGTTTTAAAGAATAATAAACAACAATAATTGTTTTTTATACTTGGTTATAGCCTTACATTTTTTTAAATATTTTTATTTTTGAATATCTTCGTCAGATTCCACTTTATTTAAAACGATTTTTCGATAGTAAGAGGTGAGTGCTTTTCGCCACCAGGTACATTTACAGAAATTCTCTCAAAACATTTAAATTTCCAGTTAAAGAATATATTTTATGATTTACTTAGAAAATAAGGCGATATTTTGTTCTTTCTATTGTCTAAGTTCCCATTTTTTAAACTTGATGTTGAAATATTTGTTTCAAAGCGTTTAATCAAAAATTATGCTCTTTTATCTTTCCAAAAGTGTTTATCACATTTTTTTTCTTCTTTACAAGACAAAATTTTTTTTCTTGCGTTAATGATCAGTTGTCAATAATTTTTTAGTAGTTTATTTTCTAAAAATCAGTATTTTTAAGTTTTCATGGGGTAAGTTATTGTAATCGTCCAAAAATCATGATTGAATTTTTTTGCATATATTTACGATTTCAATGTCCTTGACTATTATAGAATTTCTCACAAAAAGTGGATATAATATAATCAATCAATATAGTGTATTGACTATATTGAACTTATATGATATATATGCTCTTAAAATTTAATTTAAATTTGCATTCGTCCTAATTTGAATTGAAAAACATTTTATACTAGTTTGTAATTTTATTTTTACATTTATCTGAGTTTTTTGATAATACTTTATAAATTTTCCTGAAATATAAAAATATAAATATTGTCCAATTTCAATTTTGGGTGGCAAAAGTAGCTGCCTAAAACATTTATCATAAATGTGAACTGTTGTTACTAATTTTTAGTTATGTTTATTTGAAGATATTTTTAGAGCCTAATAATTTTATTTTAAGATAACCTTTCACTCTTATTTCACTTGTCATGAGATAAAATAATTTTCTTTGATTATCGAATATATCCATTATAAGAGTATTTTACAAAATGATATACAATATAATATATATATAATGTATCCAATATATAATATCATTGTACAATTTAGGAGTATTTTTATTAATCTTAGTAATTATATAAACTAATCATATACTGACTTTTTTTGATAAAAGTGTAAGCTTTTGCGAGACTCGAACAGTAAATCAACAATTTATGTTAATAAAAATATGTTATTTTATTGCAAATTCAACATAATTTGAAAACTGAGGTTATTTCTATATAATTCAAATATCAATCATACTTTATTCAAGCACGCATTTTACTCTGAATCCAATCCACGTAATCTCCAACTTTCGTGTAAACGCCTGGCCAGCCTTGCATACCGCAAGGCGAAGGGCCAAACGACACTATTCCGGCCACTATCCAGTTAGCCACCTGGCCAGATTCCCGATCTATGGCCATAAGTGGCCCACCCGAATCCCCACGACAGCTGTCTCGGCCACGTTCGCCACCAGCGCATAGTTGGCCCGAACCGATTTGAACCGAAACACCTGCATAGACGTTTGAGCAAGCGGATCGGGGTGACTACTGGGACTTCTAGTTTGAGTTTTATTGGGCTTTCTGATCCTATTGGGGAAAAAATACATATTAATAAAATATATTATTCAATGAGGTTCATAAGCAAGAGCCTAAAGTAATATTTTTAAATTTTCGTTTCGACAGTTTCTTAACATTTTGGCATATTCAGAAAAAATTGATGTGTGTGTATGTGTTGACACAATTTTTTGAGTCGTTTCCGGCATCACCAATCAACAGATTTGAATTATTCAAAAAGCATTCGATTCTCATTGATGAAAAAAAGTTTCGGAGATATGAAGCAAAAGGTGCAAAAATAGATGTACAGTTTTTGCTAGAATCATTCTTTTAGACTGATCCAAAAGACATTTTTTTTTGTATTCACAACAAGACGTGTTGATAAATTTTTGACAAACAAAAGTTCAGCTGCAAAGATGCAATGCAGAAGATGGCAGTTTTTGTTAGAACAAGGAATCTGATTCAAATCATTCAAACATTTTATTTGTATTGACGGAGTAAAAATTTGATTACATTTTTGCGATGAGTTTCAGCATTCTG